GAGGAGCAGCATTTAGAAATTTTATAATAGTTTTAAGCCACCTCAATCATAATCATTTCTCCATTATAATTGTTAGGGGGTTGTGAATTTACACTTCCAAGACATTCATTAATTTTTTTCTTCTTATGGAGTCTTGGAAGCCGTAGCATTCAAGAGCTAAATTAAATTTAGTTTTCCTCAACCCAGGCATGATCTGGGCATTATATGATACTGCTTTCAAAATGTGTCTGGTAAATGGCTTGTTCAACTTATGTTTGAATCTGGGATGAGGAAATGGCAAGCTTATTTCAATTTGTTTTGTCATAATTTTGCGCCTTCATTGAAAAGAAAAAGATTTGTTTGTTCCATTAGTTTTTAGATGTCATGTAACAATATTGCAGCTGTAGAATGACCCCAAAAAAAATAATAAAATGTCTTATATAATTGAACCCCAAAAAAATTGATGGTGTTGGAAGCTTCGTTTAATGTTGTATTTCTGAATTTTTAAAAAAAAAAAATTAATGTGCTTCTTTTGCTGCTTTTCGAATTCAAATAAAAATTAATTGGTGATGGTTTTCAAAAGTGGCTTCAAATTTTACTTTGACCAATCCTATTATTAAAAAGTAATCGTAAGGCTTTGGTGTGGATTGTGGACTGTATGTCACCAAATTATCAAGAAAAATTTTTGAAGGATAAATTTATATTTATAATTCAAATAATTGTCCATTACCCATAACTTTTTATATATATTTTTTTTACGAAGGAAGTGTTACGTTTTTAGTTTTATTACCTTCCAATTTGTTTCTTGATTGCCATAAAATTAATTGAATTATTTGTTTTAATTTTTATGAGTTACAATTTGTTGAAAAGTAAAACAAGCTTTAACAATTAATTGTGTATCATAAAAGCACTGAGGTAAAATTTTACTAATAAGAATCCTTAATAAGCCTGAATATAATTAAGCTTCATAATTAAAAGGCCATTATCCTATTATTGAATGATATCGTATAATTTGATACAGAATACAAGTAAGATATTTTCTTTATTCATAAATGAATTTCTCCAAGAAATGGATTCCATTTTTTCAAAGTAATAAATGTTGATCAATTTTTACTTATAAATACTTCTTAGCTCTAGCTATTGTAATACTGTAAACCACAGAAAAGATGAAATAGATTTTCATATCTTTTGTTTTGTTTCATTATTTTATTATTTTTACTACAGCTGTGATCCAATTTTTTGCTTTTGAATGTTATCAGGAGCCTTACCATCACATCTGTGTGTGTGTGTATCTTACTGCTATTTGTACCTATTACACAAACATTTTACAGATATGCATAAAGTTGTAGGTGATACAACATATTACCCATATCTGTTTTCATTTGTGAGGTTAACATGTATAAACTGCTTTGATTATACTTTTTTTATGTTAACAGTAACAAACTAGAGGGCCATATTTTTGTCCAACTGTCAATCAGTGTCAGTCATCAGTGACCATAAAGCTGTTTTATTCTCTTGTTCCTTAAATGTGCTCATTAGCTTTGTTAAAACCTCAAAAACGTGAATGAAATATATTTAAAATATATAGATAACAGTATAATAGATTACCTTGACCTGCAGAAGACTTTAAAAATGACACTTGTTTAGAGAAATATGTAACTTTCTGCAGATGCCAATATCTCTACTGCAGGAAATCTCTCTGGTAGATCATTATTGAACATACCACACGGGGGTTCCTCAGATGTGGTGCTCATGTACATGAGGCAATCTACATACATGAGTTCTCACATTGCTTTACCTTACAAGTACAAACTGAATTCCATTTAAAAAAATAGTTTTTGAATGTTGTTCTTTTTTGGTTATAATTGGACTCAATAAACAACTATTAAAACTTAAATAATTAGATAACTAGAAACTTTTGAATGACCTTCATTATCCTCAATCATGGAGCAGATAAACATTACATTTACCTTGGACAAAAATTAAACAAATTTGAAAAAGATTTTTGTTAAAAGCAATAAATTTAAAGGTTGTTGTTGATTTCTTTCAGTTTCATTGTTATTCACTTAAGATCTTATTATTATCTTAAAGTTTAGGCACATGGAATTATTCCAATTTTCTCATTGTGTCTGCTTTTGGAATTGGATCAAAGCAAAGATGGTGAAACATATTATGCGCTGAAATGATTGCATGTTTCTTGTTTATAGTGGTTTGAAAATTGTACAAAATGTGAAAAAAAAATAAATAACACAAAAATAAAACAAGTTGATAGTTTGTGTTGAATTGATGCTTTATCCCTAATAATTGTTGAATTGATGCTTTATCCCTAATAATTGTTGAATTGATGCTTTATCCCTAATAATTGTTGAATTGATGCTTTATCCCTAATAATTGTTGAATTGATGCTTTATCCCTAATAATTGTTGAATTGATGCTTTATCCCTAATAATTGTTGAATTGATGCTTTATCCCTAATAATTGTTGAATTGATGCTTTATCCCTAATAATTGTTGAATTGATGCTTTATCCCTAATAATTGTTGAATTGATGCTTTATCCCTAATAATTGTTGAATTGATGCTTTATCCCTAATAATTGTTGAATTGATGCTTTATCCCTAATAATTGTTGAATTGATGCTTTATCCCTAATAATTGTTGAATTGATGCTTTATCCCTAATAATTGTTGAATTGATGCTTTATCCCTAATAATTGTTGAATTGATGCTTTATCCCTAATAATTGTTGAATTGATGCTTTATCCCTAATAATTGTTGAATTGATGCTTTATCCCTAATAATTGTTGAATTGATGCTTTATCCCTAATAATTGTTGAATTGATGCTTTATCCCTAATAATTGTTGAATTGATGCTTTATCCCTAATAATTGTTGAATTGATGCTTTATCCCTAATAATTGTTGAATTGANAAAAAAAAAAAAAAAATAAGAAAAAAATAAACAAAAAATGTATTAAAGTAAAGAGAAAGTAACTAAGCTTATGTCCTGTCCGTTCGATCACCATACAAATACGCTATAGTAAATAAAAACTACATTAAAGCATTACTAAAAAATGTTTGCCCCTCCCCCCTGGAAAGTTAATCTATTTTTTTGCCCCCCCCCCCCCACTTCTAGAAAGTTTTCTGCAGGCGCCCATGTATACCGGTATATAAAGGACTGCGCTCCAGCCGTGTGAAGTTATAGTTCGTAGGGTTGCTGTTTAAAAAAAACATTTTCGCTTTATGTTAGTAGAGTCTTGAGACTTATTTTTCTTAATTTTCACACTCTTTCTGTTTGACACTCTTTCTCTCAATCTAAATTTATCGCATGATCCCATCTATAGCTGTGTCTCACTTAACGTTTTTCGCATGATCCCATCGATAGCTGTGTCTCACTTAACGTTTTTCGCATGATCCCATCGATAGCAGTGTCTCACTCTACATTTATAGCATGCTACCATTGATAGCTGTGTCTCGTGCTTAAAACTATTTCTGAAACTTATCTCTAGCGCTCTACTTCACTCTGACCCCCCCCCCCCCCCACACCCACTTTTCTTTTTTTCCAATCTGGTCTATTTACCACTGATTCTTTTATCTGCTCCCACTTCAATCGAAATCGATCTACATCTTTCTCATTATAGCCTCTATAGTGTGCAGTTTGGTTCCTCTATAGTGTGCAGTTTGGTTCCTCTATAGTGTGCATTTTGCTTCATATTCATTTATTTGGCCATTCGTTGCTGACTATGGTCAACCTTCTATACATATGATTCATTATGACAGCTCAGGTAACAGCACAAATTCACAACAAATTATGAGCTTCAAACAAAGCCGTGATATGTGCTTGCAATCGGTTTTGGGGGTGGGGGTGTAACCTTATGGTCCTGCGATTGGGGGAAGGGACACTGGCCCCGGGCGCCATCTCCAGAGGGTGTCAAAATCTTCATTTTTACAGCAAAATATAGCCTACTTGGGGGAAGATGGCGCCTAAATTCAGGCTTTCCCCCGGGTGCAGCTACTGCTTACCACAGCTTTGCCTCGAATATATAAACGGACCAAAGTTGTGAAATAAAATGAGTAAAACAGAGTAGGGTTAAACCTGAAAAAATAAACGTAACAAAACAGCGAACGTGTCGGCAGAAAGCCTTCGCCAGTGGACAAAACAACAGAAAAAAACGGTATAAAAATAAGAAATAGCACTTAGCTGGTAAGTAGTATCTGTGGGCAGCAATAGAAGTGTGCTTCCAGAAAATGTCAACATAAGATTAAGGTTGTCATTGTCGATTTCGACATTGACCTTGGGGCCTCCGCTGGCCTTAGTCTGGCACTGGTGTTTAGAAATAATATGCTACTCATTTCCAGCTTACTATACTTCTTAGTTTTCAACAGGACTTTTGATTCAAGGCAAAAATTATTAAATTTTATTTTGTACTTGCGCAAATTTTTAATGAACATAATTACTTGGTTAAATCTAACCAATTCTTTTTCCTCCTTCAATATATTAAGGGCACACGATCAACGTATTGATCATTCTGGCTCCTTTGTATGTAGAGGGATTTGCAATGTTTCTGTGCCTGGTATTGTAGATTTTTAAAAATACTTAAAATAAATTTCGTAATATTTTTGTATCTTCTCATAGAAAAAATCCCCCCCCCCCCTTTTCTCGTTTTAGTTTATTTTCAATATGCCAGTTTTAATTTTTGCTCACACAAATATGAATATAAAATAAATTATATGACTGAGAAAATTTTTTTTTTTTTTTCTCTTAAAAAAAATCCCCCCCCCCCCCCCTTTTCTCGTTTTAGTTTATTTTCAATATGCCAGTTTTAATTTTTGCTCACACAAATATGAATATAAAATAAATTATATGACTGAGAAAATTACAAAAATAATTGATCATTCTAAGTAAAAGAAATACTTTTAATAATTTTTTTTTTCAGGTCATCGATTAATTTTTAATTCTATTTTAACATTAAATATTTTAAAGAGGACTTTGATTAGCATTGACAAGGGAAAAAAATCTGACTCACATTCTTATTAACAAATAACCCCCGTGATAAACAGCAAGCATGGCCAGCGGAGTACCAATTATTATTCTGAGTAAGTTACTAATGTTTATTAAAAGTTACAGTATTCATTTTAGTGTAAACTAAGCAATCTAAAATTCAATTATTTTTTCGTTAAATTTCAGACCAAAACACAAAGAGGGAGTCTGGAAGAAAAGTCCAGCTTGGAAATATTGAAGCCGGCAAGGTAGGACCCTCAATAATGTAGTCATAATAGGAAAAAGTAAATGATAAAGAGCGTCGCTAACGCATACATAGTGTAGATTCCAGAATGTTCTTTTATTTTCCTGTATTTTTTCTGTCCAATTTTTCTAAATTAAATGATTATGACTATTAATTGGTAATAATTTTGCAATCTGTCGCCTACACAAATGTTTCAAGCGTCTTTTAATTATTCAAGTCCTGACCGTTGTTAAGTTAGCTCACTAATCTGAACTTACTTCTCGATACTGACGGCTGATGGTCATGGTTTCATTACAAAAAATATAAAAAAATTAGGTAATTTAAAAATTTAATTTTAGTTTTAGTAGGACATTAAATGGCCATTGGGCTAATATTAAGGACGGCTGCCACGGCGTCTTTTGTGTGTTTATTATAGTTGCTTGAGGGATCGATTTAGGGTTCATTAGGATAGGCATACTCGGCATAAGGATCGATTTAGGGTTCAGGTTAGGCATAGGGATCGATTTAGGGATACATTCGTGAAATTCGATAAAATAGTGGCAGTCGTCCTTAAAATTTACCGGCCATTGTTTTTGATTGAGGCTGAGGCCCGTTGTCACGGTTGAAAAGAACCTCAGTGTGGCCCACACGCTGGAAATTTTGTATTTCTCATTTCTGTCACCCTAGGTCCTAGACCTTAGTCCTAGTGTACCACAAAGAGTTTCATTTTGACAAACTTTATAAAGCCCATCCATATGATGCTTGATGTCACACTTGTAAGGGTTGGGTGGGTCACGAATCCGTGATAAAATGATATGTGGTAAAAGTGTCTTTATTCTTAATGGCAATGGCAACAAATTGCGCTGGATCCGGGAAATTCAATTGTTTCACATGTGAACAGTATTCTTGCTAGTTGGTTTGCTGTTCATTTTGTCTTGGCACAACACATGAATAATCAAAGTATACCTTTTGCTTCAAACTATATCGGGAAGTTCTTATCAGAGAGAAAGAAAACAGAGTTTAGGCTCTGATTTGATAGTGTTGTTGTCTATGGCCGTTGGAAGAGGGGCCTACCCCTAGACTACTTTTCGCCACATATGTGTTTTCAGGTTGTGTGGGGCGACCCATATAAAAGGGTCATTCAAGCCCCAAAGGTGTCCCGACCCTCAGGTTGAGAACCGCTGTCTATATTAAGTCAATATAATGAGACAGGGCTGTGTGGGATGTATTAGGTAGCTACTTGGCATGCCCCACATTTGTGCATTTAGTGGCAGGACAACAAAGTCACCAACACAACAGTCCTGGATAGTGCCCACACATTTTTCTGGCTCGGGTGAATCATAAATTTGGGCCATGCTAGTCACAAGTTGCTGTATAGCAAACTGCCTTGGGAAGCTTAGCCCACTCGACGTGCTGTATTAAAGACCGTTCTGGTTGGTGAATTGCTGTCGAAAAGGGATTTAATCAGACTGAGAAAGTGCACACACTAACATTGGATATCAGAAAATCCAGTTGGAAGTCAAAAGAACAGTAATTAAACCAGTCTTTAAAGCAAATATTTCTTAACTGCTGATTTAAATGTCCTTGTAGATAATACTGTATGATACACCACACCCACCAAATACATATTAATGACTGGAGTAATATTTGACTTCGCTCTAGTGATTTTAGTTCAAGAATAGTTTGAGTAGAGGCAATTAGTAAATTTGAAAATTTAGCAAGTGATAAGTTGAAGTATTTTAGTTACAATAATGTGATGATACAATCATGCTCTTTAATAAATAAACTTTACAGGAAGAACACACTGTTTTTTATGACTTTTGTGCAATTGTTTTTCCACTAACAGACAGTTGCTGATATAATCCGAACATGTTTGGGACCAAGATCAATGTTAAAGGTATTCTTTTCTAAAATATTTAATAGCTTACAAATGCATAATTAAAGATAACTATGGTTTTGGGTGTTGCTTGAAGATGTCTTTCAATTGATCATATTTTTTCCTTTACCCTTATTTGATAAAATTGTAAAATTGTTTCCCTACTTTTTTTTTTTTTTTATGTCAGATGTTGATGGACCCAATGGGTGGCATTGTCATGACCAATGATGGAAATGCCATTCTTAGAGAGGTGAGTCCTAAGAAAAATGTATTGCCATTTTTATAATTTTTTGCAGAAAAAATGAAAGTACTGATAAGTAAATATTTTTGGTAAAATGTCTAGCACAGCAAACATACCATTGTTTAGAGCAGTGGTTCTCAACCTTCCAACTGCAGCGACCCTTTAATACAGTTCCTCATGTTGTGGCGACCCCCAGCCACCAAATTATTTTCGTAGCTACTTCATAACTGTAGAGTATATGTGTTTTCAGATGGTCTTAGGCGACCCCTGGGGAGGGGTCGCAACCCACAGGTTGAGAACCGCTGGTTTATAGAATGTTTATAATTGTAGCTTTGAAAAAATTATGTTTTGAAATTTAAAGCCCCTCCTGCCTAAACTTTGTTAATGTAAACTTAATGTGAGTATATGAGGTTTCGACGCTTACCAGATGCTGCACAGGTACAATATCCGGAACCAAGTCCGTATCAATACTGCAGTTGTGCTGTGTGTACGCTAACACAAGAAAACACATCTGCACCCTGCTGTCGTAAGGGCCATCCATATATTACATAGGCACAGAGGGGTGGGGTTGTTGATTTAAGAGATTTTTGCATACTGGTGATATTGTACAATGTGCATGCACTTTTTATACACACATTCTGCCAGAACTATCCTGAAAACAGTTAATAAATAGCCTATTCTATTTTCATTATATCTCTTATAATAATCTTTCCTCTCTTGTATGAGTCTGTGTGTTTCCAAAATTTGTGACATAATTATTTAGTTCAACTGAACCAAACATTATATTGGCTAGCCTGACAACGGTGTAGTACTAGAGCAGTGCATGCTCCCTCCAATTGCCACCTTCCTTAACAAAAACCTTTAGCTAGGAAAGTTAATTTTATTCCCCCTTCCTGTTGCACTTGAAGTTTTACAGGTTTATATGGATTCTCATAGTTGCCATGCTTCTAGCATCAACTACCATTGCTTTTTGACTTGCCTGGGGGCTTGCTTTGGGATGGACATTTAGAATGCAAGCTCAATGTCTCCCTCACAGTATTTCTTAATATACATATTCATTACTAGTTAATTCAGGGGTGGTCAATGTTTTTGTCTGGAGGCTTGGGTAATTTGTTGTTGGCGGCTCATAATTTGCTACAAGTCTAAAGCTCAAGTTAAGAAATTGAATTTTTTTTTTTAAATAATTAAGAGTAGATGATAAAGAACAGATAAGTTGAGAAGAAAATTCTTTAATAAATAGGAAAATCATAAAGCTGTTACCAGCTGATTTGTAGTTAATAGTGCAGTTAGTGAAAAAACAACCTGGTTCATGGAAAGTCTTGCATGCCACATTAATTGTTCAAACAATAGCACTTACCTAGCAATGTATTGTCCAGAGGCAGGTCATAAATCATTTATTCACTTTTACATTGTTCCAGCTCAATGTTCAGCATCCAGCTGCCAAATCAATGATTGAGGTAGCTAGGACTCAAGATGAAGAGACAGGAGATGGGACTAAATCTGTTATTATTTTAGGTAAAATTTCCTGATCATGTAAATTTATTTATTGAAGATCTTTAAATTACAATTTTTACACTGTAGCCATGTTAATAACTATCAGAAATAAAATATAAAGTAATCTTTTTTTCCTCATTGCTAATATGAATTTTGTTTTTTAAAGTGTTGTTTTTCCCAAAAGTGAAGTTCATAGTGGTTTGAAATTATAGCAATTTGCACTGAATAACATAAATCAATGTTAGCCTATATGTTGCCCTCTGTGTTTACTCTAGGTCCTTGCACACTTGATACATAGCTGCTACTCTTCAGTATATGCACCAATTTGCATTTTACATTCTTTTAATTTTTTTAGTAAACAAGATTTGATATTACTGGAAAAATTTTGTAAATACAAAGTCATATTTTCATTTCACAGCAGGGGAAGTTTTGTCAGTTGCTGAACAGTTCCTTCACCAACAGATGCATCCTACCATTATAATAGCAGCATACAGACAGGCATTGGAGGACATACTTGATGATCTCAAAAATAAGATTGCGTGAGTAGATATGAATAATTTAAGAGTTGACTACAGGATACTTAGAGATGATTTATTGCTGTTTGTCACATTTAGTGGTTATGCAATTTGTCAGTTTCAATAAAAAAGATTGTTGTATAAGACATTTAAAAATAGGATTTTGTCTAAGGCCAGTGGTAAAATGACAACTACTAATCTAGTTTTAGTATTAAAAAAAACATAAAATATCTGCAATGAATAATAAATTAACTTATCACTTAATAATAAATTAAGAAAATCTCAATCGTTGCAAGAAATGTTCTCCCTAGATGCTTAATTCTTTCAATGTTTAAGGTTTTCTATGTAGTAGAATAATAATCTTGTGAAGTAAGATATTCATTATCAATTGGTGGCAAGTAGGAGCTCAAGGGTTGGTGGTAGGTTTATCTCAGCTTTTCCTAAATATGGTTTATATAATAAAATATAAAAGTTATGTCATGGGATGCAATCTATTATTATACAAATTTGGTTATCCTACAATCAGCTGCATGTTTAAATTTTGTATCCTCAGAGTTCCAGTGGATATAAATAACAAAGAGGAAATGCTTAAGATTGTAAAGAGTAGTCTGGGAACTAAATTCATTAGTAAATGGTAAGTAAAATAACTTATATAGCATAAATTAATTAAACTTAAACATTTTTATATTCTGGTCTTCAGATTTAAGATGTTTAAAGCTAATCAGTTTCCAACAATTAAAATCATAGCACCAATGGGCCATCCATTCCTCAAGTGAACTGAAAGGTAATATTTTCACACACACACACCCTCCTTGACATACATACTTTTTTGGGCTTACCCCTTTTGTGTATAAATAAGGCCCTTCTTTCTCCCTAACCCCAAAGAAAACCCACAAACCCAAACATTATACTTACAGACACGTATGAAGTAAAAGGAAATACAAAAATCGTCCTATACCATGGTCTTTAACCTGGTGTACATTGACCCTTTGTGAGATGCATTTCCTGGTCCATGGCCTTCATCTGACAGGTCATGGAACGGAAAAGGTTAAGAACCCCCTGCTCAAAAATGGTGTTAAAATTATGTTGTGTGTTTTTTCCTCTTTTGGTCACAGTTGCTGGCTTTGTCCTACTTTAATTGAATCTTTAGTTTAGCCAAATGAAATAATAAAGTTGCAGTAACTGCAAATCTCCTAAATCAACAATGCCCCACACACACCAAACAACACAACATATGCACACACACACGATATAAAGATGATAAAAATTATGAGCAGGCAGGTTTTTTGTGTAACAAGCTGGAACACGGGTGTGTTAATATATGGTTTATTGAATGACACTTCTGTGTACTTTATTAAGTGATTTTTATACATATAGAATATAGATCCTTGTGTTGTCTTAACAGATCAGCTTTTTTACATTAAGTGTTAATCAATTACTCAATCAGGATGGAATTAGCCTGTAATATTGCACTTGACGCTACCTCAACAGTTATGATTGAAGAAAATAACAGAAAGGAGATAGATATTAAGCGCTATGCTAAAGTGGAAAAGGTATGTCTTTAAAATTTGTTTTCCTTAACTTACTTTATCCATCATGTTTTTGTTTTTTTTCTTTTGTATTACATTAATCCAATTGTATACTGTTTAGTGATTAAGATAATGTACATAACTTCATAATTAATTCAGATTCCAGGAGGCCTGATTGAAGACTCTAAAGTGCTTAAAGGCGTAATGTTCAACAAAGATGTGACACATCCAAAAATGAGAAGGTTTGTTCCTTTGTCTCGTTTACTCTTTTTCCCACAGTCCACAGAAACTTTCTAATGAGATGTTATATTTACTTAACCTTTATAAATTGGTGCCCAAATTTGAAACACTTTTAACAGTTTCTACATATACAATTTTAATCCTTTTCATTAACTCTTTACAATCCTAGAATTTTTTTTCTCTCATATTTTTGGTGACCTTACAAATATGTCGATTGCTTTTAGAATCCATGTCTAGAGTTCATGGTGTTGTATATAAATATGTAGGCTTGAGTTGAATGTTACTTCTAAAGTTATAAGTTCAACTCTTTGAATTTTTTATTAAAATTATCAAACATAATTTTTTTAATGAAAAATTGTAATAGTTTTGGTGATCTGCAAAGATGAAAATAAAATAAACTACCTAGTATATTTTCATAAAATCTGTTGAGAATGAAAACTGATTTTTGTTATGTCATGAGATAATCAGAAAATTTTATGAGCATTTGACAAAATTCTTAATGATTTTTTCTATATGGGGAAATGATTTTTAAAAAGTAACCATTCCCCACCCCATCACAAAGTGTTCACAATAATTACAATTATTATTATTTTACCTGTTAAAATTATTTACGCACAAGAAAACAGATGTATTCTATTTTATTTTGTCTTATTTACACTTGAGGCACTTGGAACATTATCAGTTTTAGTAATCCGTCTAATGCTTTAAAAATTTCCTCAGTGAAATCAATGTGGAGTTATCAATTAGGTAGCGTTATTTCATTTTTGTCAGGATTTTCTTTTCTCCACTCCTAAAAGAGATATAGCTGGCAATATCAACAGTACTGTTTTGTTAACATTGTGGTAAACATCCATTTATCAACTGGTCAACACAACACATAAATGAATTGTATGATTTAAATTTATGAATACTTCGTTGGCTCACCAATAATTGATTAACCCTTCTGGTACCGAAGTACTTTTTTGCTATGTGTAGCCTCAGTACCGGCTATTATTTTGCCAATTCTTCCATGTGGCCATGATATTATTTCGGAATAAGCCAAAATATGATAGGTTTGCAAATTATTTTGTACCTTTTCTGTTTTAAACAATTGGTAATAAGATGTAAGAATTATCTGTTCAGTAATGGATAGGGGTATCAAAAATACTAATGTGTTTTGTTCACACAACTGTAACCCATGTGTGTTTTCAGATGGTCTTAGGCAACCCCTGGGAAAGGTTGAGAACCGCTGTAATATAATGAAGAAAATATTTTATGAGTCAAATAACCTGCATTCATAAAGTTACACATTTTCTATGCGAAAGGAAAAAAGAGTTAATCCCATAATGTCTCGATATATAGAATATCTCTTATGCACATTGTCCAAGGTGCTGGCAACAGCATTGTTTAAATAGATGTCTTTCTCTTTTATTTTTTTTTATGTGCGTTGGGCGTGATTTTTAAAACACTTGTGATCATATACTATATAGATATTGTATTTGCAGCTCTTCCTATAGATTTAATTTACAAAACTTCTCTCTTGTTATTATATGATAAACAAAGTAATGCTTTTTACACTGTTCTTGAGAAATATCTCTTTATAACGTTTCAGGCGTATTGAAAATCCTCGTATTCTTTTGCTGGACTGCAATTTAGAGTACAAGAAAGGAGAGAGTGTGGTAAGTAGAATGTATAGGTCATACTGATTTGGGGTGGGGGGCTGACATTAATCTCTTGTGGGAAATGTATTTATATTTTGAAATTGGGATGGGGAGCAATGTTGGACAAGAGGGGGGGGGTACATTCAAACTTTTAGGTGGTTGAATGGGGTGTTGGGCATAAATAGGCTGGCAAATTGATGTAAATAATATAATGAAATACTCCAATTAATATATCTCTTCAAAGGTTAATTTTTTAGTATGTAATTAGACTAAATATTATTTTCAAATGTTTATCTTTTAATGTATGGTTTACTGTGTTTCAGACAAATATTGAAATCTCACAAGAGCAAGATTTTTCGTAAGTTGCAAATTTATATATATCAATGGTAATGATTTGGAATGTTTTACTTTATACGTGCCTCAATATTTTATGGGTCCTTATTTTTCTTCTTTTTTTGAGTTTATTTGTTGATTTATAAAACATGATTGACAGTTTCTGTCATAACTTTTATTTAACCTTTGATTTGATACCAAAAGGGACAGATGATGTATGTAAATTTTATTTTGCAAGAAGGGGTGTTGGCTAATCATAAGTATTATAAATCTTTGCTTAAATTAAACCACTCCAGCCCACTTATTTTTCACCTATCATTACTATCAAGCCATGCAATGCCTTCTGATTTTGTATTATTGATAAGCATTCTATTACTTGACTTCATAATTAACTTTTTTGATTTGGTAAGATTGTAAAAAGAAGACTAAGGTATTTTAAATTGTGAATCTGCTCAAAGTTTTGATATGGATTGCTTAATGGAGAGAAAAAGTAACAAAATACACAAATTTGCGATATGTGATACTAGTAATATCAAGCATTGGACTTTTTTTCAAGCATTGAGAAATGTTTTGAAATTTAACACTCCTTTTCTTTTCTATAAATGTTAAACCAGACTAAAATCTGAAAAGTTTTTGCGTGTTTCATAAAGAATTTTGGTTTATAATTTTATTCATTAAAGGACTTTTTACTTCCCCTGTTATCAACCTTAATTTTCTTGTAAGTTTTTTTTCTATTAACAAATATATTATTCAATATTAAAAATGTACCATTAAAAAATCGTAATTGTTTGACATGTTCTGATATGAGAAAATACAAAAATGTTAACATATATTTGAAAGACATGACTTTAAGACTGTGCTTAGAGAGTTTAGCAGATGACACATTTTAGCTTGCTTCTCTAATTTTATTCATTTATTCATATCTTTTTTAAACAGGAAGATCTTAAAGCTTGAGGAAGAATTCATTGAAAAAGTGTGCAAGGAAATCATTGCACTCAAGCCTGACCTTGTTATTACAGAAAAGGGTGTTTCAGACTTGGCACAACACTATTTGGTTAAGGAAAACATCACCGTCATTAGAAGAGTTAGAAAATCTGACAACAACAGAATTGCAAGGTAATAGTTGTAGAATTTCTAGTTAATTTTCGGGGGTTTTTTATGGTAGATCATCAATGAGCATCATTCCATTTGGCTAACAGTAACAGCAGTGTGTTAGGGAGTCACACTGCAAAAGAGGGAGGACTACAAAAGGCCAACTTTAGCTAGGAGTCAAGGTTCTCCTACAAGAAGTGCAGCCGAGACTGCCATTACGGGGCATAAGGGCACTGACCATCAAATTTAAATTTATAGCATTCTTAAATATATTTTTTCATTCCTATGCACTGTGTCCGGAAAAAGTGGAATCCTTTTTATAATGATGATCTCTAACCAGAGAAATAAGCACCGGGGCACCACAAGGCTGCGTTATCTCTCCTGTACTGTATACAATATATACAAATGATATTCAAAGCTCAACCAACACCGTTCCAATCTTCAAATTTGCTGATTATACCACGATTGTTGGCTTAATACCTGAAGGAGAAGGCCTATACCGTAACTTAATAACAAGCTTTATCAATTGGTGCGATGAAAATTTTCTCCAGTTGAATGTCTCAAAAACAAAAGAAATGGTTGTTGATTTCAGGAGGGGGAAACACCTGATTACAGATCTCAACATAAAAAATCAAAATGTGGAGAAAGTTGGGGCATACACGTACTTAGGTGTCAGCATTAATAATAAGCTAACATGGCATGAGCACGGCCAAATCCTGTATAAGAAATTCAACCAAAGACTGTTCTACGTCAAAAAACTGTACAATTTTGGCGTAAACAAGCAAGTCGTTAACTTATTCTACAGTGCAACTATTAGAAGCCTGCTTATTTTCAGTATTACCTGCTGGGGTGGAAATTCAACATCTGATATTAAACACCGCATAAACCGACTAATCAAGAAAACTAAAAACATAACACAAACTAAACATCCTTCACTTGAAGAACTATTTGAAGAAAGATGTTTTTGCAAAACTAAACACATTTTGGATGATACATCCCACCCTCTTCATCACAGATGTTTAGGATCGGGCCATTCAGGACGAATTCTTTCCATCAGAGCGAGGACTGACCGATATAAAAATTATTTTGTTCACCAATCTGTACAAATTTACCGGCATGCTTCCTCTGAAGTCACACATCTGAATGAGAACTAATAAGTCCCCGATTTTGCTAAGAGAACTCACTGAAAGGCTTTTTGAAATAATTTATTATAAATGTCTTGTGTTCAAATTGTTTTATTTATGTGCTGAAAATGTATAACACAATCAAAAAACATTTCCATATATTTGGATCAATAAAAGAATCATCTCATGAAAACTAATTTATCAAAATTTTAAATTTCAAAACTCATTTAACTTCTAACATAATTTTAAATTTTATTAAACTGTAGTTTGTGTTTTAAGAGTCCACCATTAGTTTCATCAAGATGCACCAATCATCATCAAAAGGGTTCCCTTTTTTCCAATCGCTGTAGTTAAATTTACCTTGGTCTTTAGGCTTCATTCTTTTTTTTTTTTTTTTATATTAAAGTTATAATTTTTTTTACCTTTTCTATAGCTTGTGGAGCTACTATTGCTAACAGAACTGATGAACTGAAGGAAGAGGATATTGGTACGGGATGTGGTTTGTTTGAAGTCCAGAAGATATCTGATGAGTAAGTGTGCATTAGAAAATAGTGTTTTTATTTTTGAGTATGTGTTTTCTTTTATATAAATTGGAAATCCAACAGCAGTCCTTTTCTTCCTTAAATATGTCACCAACCCACTACGACAGGGGTCGGGAACCTATGGTTCACGAGCCAGATGAGGCTCTATTGATGGCTGCATCTGTCTCGTAGACAAATGTTCGATTATAAAAAAAGTCGCATTAATGGTAAGAAATACTCATTATTGATTAGCAACAATGTTATTAAAAAGAATTCAGACATAATTATTGCAGTTTTAGTGTTGAAATTACACAAAATGCACACATTTACTTGAATTTTTAGTTTTAAACATAATGTATGGCTCTCACAGAATTACTTTTCAAAATATGTGGTGTCATGGCTGTCTCAGACAAAAAGGGTTCCCGACCCCTGAGCATTCATTAAAAAAAATTTGTACTAATCTTTTCCTGTAATTTCATCCCCACCTCCCCTTGTCACAATCTTTCCATCTCATCACCCCTACGTTGCCCAATCATTTTCATAACACTCAGCATTTTTCCACATTAACACCATCTAATCCCCTATTCTCTCCTGCAGGCTGCTCCACCTTAGAACAATGTAAACCCATGCATTCCTCTCATCCCTATCATCCCCAATCCTTACTCCTTTAAACCCTCCTCTCACCCCAATATCTTATCTTACCTCTCAATCCTTTCTCATCCGATCCCCCTACCAGCTGCCTTCATACTACCAGTTTAACATAAATATTAGTGAAAATATTTTTACATTTAAAAACTCTTATGTTTTAATTACAACACATTCAAATTATTACTCTTATCCTTTTATTGATATTTATACCACTATCCCTTGTAATTTTATTTTAATTATGCATTAATTTTTTTTAAAAAGGCCTCAAAATGAAGATAAGAATCATAAAAAAAAAATATTTAAATCTGTTCCTTGAGAGTCATAGAAGTAAGCATTATTAATAATTTTGGAAAAATAATTGAACACATAAAAGATAGTGAAGCAGATAGTGATTTGATATCTTAGACATTACTTTTACTTCATTTTGTTCTCCATGAGATTAAAATTGACTTGCAAATGTATTATTTTCTCAGATACTTTACGTTCCTAACTGAATGTAAAAATCCAAAAGCATGTACCATACTTCTTCGTGGTGCCAGCAAAGATATCCTTAATGAGGTTGAAAGGAACTTGCAAGATGCTATGAATGTTGCACGAAATGTCATGGTGGAACCTTACCTTGTACCTGGAGGAGGTGCAACAGAGATGGCTATCGCCCAGGTTAATTTAGCATTCAATTATATTTCTTTCAACCCTTAAATTGGCACATTAACCTTACTTTTACACACGTTAGAGTTTGATAAATAACTTTTTTTTTAGCTTAAGTTCCATACACATTTTAATTCTTTTTTTTTTTTTAATTTCAGCTTTTAAATGAAAGAGCTAAAAGCATTACTGGAGTGCACCAGTGGCCATATCGTGCCATTTCTAGAGCTTTAGAGGTTATTCCTCGTACACTTATTCAGAACTGTGGTGCTAATACTATCAGGACACTTACTGCCATCAGAGTGAGTTTTTTTTTTTGCATTCATTTCTTTGCCTTATTTAATCAACAACTGAAACATTTTAAAATGAGATATTGCTGTGGAGCTCTGATTTTAATGGCTTGCAAGATTCACTTTTTATGTCTGTCTAAAAAAAATCAAATAATGGTGTTAATTGGGTAATGGTGAGCAATCCCATCGCCTCAATGAAAAGTGAACCCCTTTTCTCTGTATAATTACTTTTAATTGAAGTCGCAGTAGTAAAAAGTATTTTAAACATAAAAATACTGATGTCATCAACTTATTTATGCCTACAGTGACTTGCTGCTTATGTAGTTTTAAAAATTAATTACAAACCTGCCAAACCATCCGATTATGTCGGAATTATACAGATTTTTTTATCCCTCATTCCCACAAACCAGCTAAAATTCTCATTTTCCGAATGTCTGGTTTTTTCACCCATTATAAAAATCCGAAAGCGACATAAAATACATTTTTTTAAATACGAAATTGGGTACGACCGGAAGTGGTGCATTTCGATGATGCCACTTCCTTTGTTTTTACGAACTGTCTACATGTCCGGCCACTGAACAAATAAGTTCTCGAAATATTTTTCCGGCTATTAAATATTTAACCAAGTCACATGTCGTAACAAAGTTGCGCGAGATATTTATCCATCGGCCTTATCATGAAGGAAATATTTCTCTAGCCAACTCCCATAGTTTTAATGCCAAAGTCAAAGAAATGTTTCCAGTCTCGCAGTTTACTAGAAGATAGTGAAGAAAAATACCCTCAATCTCTTAAAATCCAACAATATCATCATAAAATCGTTCAATACATTAACTTAATAGTAAAAAAAACACACAGTATATATTTAGTGCACACACCTCAAAATCGTACATTGTATGCCAAAATCGTAAGAGTAAACAGGTCTGAAATTACAATGACAATGAAACGCAAGCTTCTAACTTGCTTGCGACTAAAATCAGTTGCAATGCTAACCTTCAGTTGTCCAAAGAGCTGTTGGACAAGTGAAAAAGGGCCACTAGGGATATACTGGAAACCTGAACTCTTAGCAGCCTTTGTACATATTTAAATAACATCAATATTCTGTCCTGTATATATCTGTATATAAACATTTCCAGTAATGTCTTTTTTTTGTGTTCTGTGGACTCTTCAAAGAAAATGGAGGTAACTTGATATTTCTTTATTTCCTAAAAAAAAAGTCTTGTGCATTAGTATGTAGATCTTAAACCAATGTGCAACCCCTACAGATTTTTTTTTCTTGGCAGGTCTGTAATTTTTACTGGGGGAAAAAAGAATTGGAAAAGTTTGTGTGTGTAAATATATGAATTTTTTCTTCATTTGAATAAGGCACCACATAATCTGCTATAATACAGTAGTAATATTTATAATATTTAAAAAAAACTAAGCATGCCTCGTCTGGATTTTTGGTAATAAGCTGCAAGTTCTATACTCTAATAATGCACCAGTGGTTTAATTATCAGTCTTCTGCCGTTAAAGGGAGCTTGAGCCTAAGAATGGGACCACACCAGGAAGTCTTCGTGCCACCTTTCACATTGAATGATTTTGAGCGGCACTATATAAGTGCACGTCAGCAAAAGCACCAGGCCCATACAAAATACACAATGAAATGATCACCCACTTGGGTAGAAAAATGAAGAAAAAGTTGTTGGATCTCTCTCACCTGCTAGTCAAAACCAATTTAAGTCCAACTGGCCGAGCCGCACTCACGTTGCTAATGAGTCTCAAAAACCGTGATTTTCCGACTCGGTCATGGGTTGTGATTTAAATGCATACAAAAATATTTTGTTATGTAAATCCTTGTCTGCGCTCTAAGATTCTTGTGAACAGGAAAATAGCCTTACTTATCAGGTTCATGTCTTTTGAGACAAACCAAAGAGATGTCAAGAGTAAATTAACCAAATATTTATACACATCTTTATTCTTTTATAGATACAATCATGTCAACATAAGTTCATTCTCTTCTTGAGTTGTTTGATATATAGTATACAGTGCCCCTAGTAAGGTCAGCTGGTGTGAGCTTCTCTCCACCTGATATATAGTGCCCCTAATAAGGTCAGCTGGTGTGAGCTTCTCTCCACCTGATATATCCTTACATCCCTACAAGACAACTACATTCTTCCATTGACAGTAGAACCCTCTCAATCCCAAGAACCAAAACTAAGACCATTGGTGAACGCTCCTTCTGCTTCCATGGGCCCACGTTCTGGAACCAGCTCCCCTTCCATATCCGTCATTGTGAAACCTCGTCCATTTTCAAAAAGTCCCTTAAAACTCATCTGTTTAGGTCCGCCTATGACCTGTGATGCACCCTCCTTGCCCTGCCTCATTTTCTGTTTCGGGTTGATCCTGAAGTATAGGCCAAAACGTGTCAAAGTGTCCTCGTTTTATAGCCATTTTCATTGTTTCTATAGAATAGTAGTTACTATCCTAGTGTCTCATTTTTATTTTACTTAGTTTACATGTTTTTAATAATTGTAAAGCGCTTAGAGCTTTATGGTAAGCGCTATATAAAAATGCCTAAATAAATATATAGTGCCCCTAATAAGGTCAGCTAGTTTGAGCTTCTCTCCACCTGATATATAATAATAATAATAAATTTCATTTCAAAAACACGCTTCATCCCCAAAGGCTCGAAGCGCGGTACAAAGTCAACAAAAAAAAAATCTTAATTTACCACATTTAAAACAAACGCAACACTAAAAAAACTAATTACAAGCATACAATGGCAAAGTCTTTCTAGCCATTTCAACCATAAGCAACACAGCCATTATGCATTAACTGGGAAATAAGGTAGACAATCATCCCAGAAGGTGTTTGCGAAATAGATGTGTCTTTAAATCGGTTTTAAAGGACTCCAGTGTCTGGTTGTTTCTCAGATCGACAGGAAGGGCGTTCCAAATTGTTGGACCAGCAAATGCGAAAGTGCGCTTTCCGTAAGTCTCAAGGCAAACACGTGGTGTCGAGAGTTTGCCACTATCGGATGAGCGGAGCTCTCTAATGGGTACATAAGGCGTCAGCAGCTCTTTCAGATAGGACGACGCCAGGTCATGTAAGCAACGGTAGCACAAAGTTGCGATTTTGTACTCTATGCGAGCACGCACCGGCAGCCAGTGCAACTCTCTCAGAAGTGTTTTTGCATGGTCGAACTTGCGTTTGCGGAGAACAATGCGAGCCGCATTATTCTGTGCTATTTGAATTTTATCCAGGAGCGTAGCTGGAAGACCCACCATGAGAGCATTGCAATAGTCCATGCGTGATAGCACAAATGCAGCCTCTTTGTTGCATCAATTGTTAGGAAGGGCCTGATTGTGGTGATCTGACTTATGACTTATTAGAGAGGAGTGTCTCTCGTATGAGATCTCCTCTTGGCACTCTGTCTAGGGATATGTTATTTAAGCCGAATAACCACACGGACATAACACCTATCTATATACATATAGTATAGACTGAAACGAAGTCTTAGTTAAAGGTGAAATTAACTACAAATATTTATTACACAATAATATTTACAACTTCCTACGTGAAACACTCGTGGTGCTCAATGTATATACATCAAACGGATTTCATCCAATTAGAAAGGTATATTAACACAAAGCAAGTGTCCCTAACATACATGCGGTATCATCATTACTACTGCTATATTGCTCAAGTTCTATGCTCGTTCTTGGTAAACTTAGCCTTTATAGATTCTGTGATGGTCTCGGTGGATCACACAGTGTGGGAGTCCTTCTGTTCAAGAAGCAGTGTCCCTGTTCCGGCCTTCGGTGCTGTTCTGAGCGTAGCGAAGTCGGAGTTCCCGGTCGTAGAGTCCTTGGGATGTCTGCGAGGGGAAGATGACTCTCCCGCGATAAATCGTGGTGGTGAGAGTCCCTGGATCTCGAAGTCCTAGCTGTCAGGTAGTTTGGTGTAGGATGTAGATCATCCCCTAGTTCCAGCTCGAGGTAAGTCGGTCCAGTAGTAGAAACCAGGCTAAAGGCAAAATGATACAAAATTGGATAAGTATCCAGGCGAATATCCATAAGCTGATAAGTCCCGTTCCAACAGCAACGAATTCAGATCGATGTATGGAAGGTGACATAGCTAGTGCATATACATCCAAATGGTGGATGTGATTATAAGTCTTGTCATTGTCGGCGGGAGCATATGTTGCATCGCGACAATGTTAGACCACTCAAACATTTTAATTAATGACATGTGGGACATGGTATCAATAACAATCTTTAAATTTACAGGCCCATAATATACATATTGTCTTCTCGTTAAGAGGGACATGGGCGAGTTGGAACAACAACCTACCATCCCCATGATGGGATGGCCGCATGTCGAAGCCCACAGCAAAAACAATAATATAATCCATAATATCAATATAAAGTGAATATAGGCATTATTGAAATAGGATCAACCACGATCGAATATTTGCGACATAGCGAATGAACAATACAAGTGCAATACCAAAATCATGGTTGCGTACTTACTAGTACTCCAGGTAGCAGTTGAAGTTAAGTATCACGCCAGTGAAGTGCTAAGTCTAGATCACTTCAAGCGTCCACAATCAAGTGATCAGATCTTAAAGTCATGTACTTGCTAATATCCTAGGATGCAGTTATGTACCATGCTGACGAAGTTCTGAGTGCAGATCCTTCCAGCATTCACCGTCAAGTGATCAGATCATAAAAGGCAGAATCTTGCTTGTTCGGGCTATTTATTCGAGTTCGATGACGATTAGCTGATGGTTCAATTGGGTGATTCACATGAGGGGTCAATTTTCCATCCAATGAAAATCACTTTCACTGTTGCGGGTTTGACCTTCAACCCTCAAGGTTAATCGGACTGAGGTGACCATCCTTTTTCAGGCTTTGGCGTGAGTTCTCTGTCTAGACAATGCATTTCCAGCAAGGGACGATACTCCGCCTTGCTGTCTACAGGGCAAAAATGAGGGGGGGAATGGTATTATTTCCTCAAGGTTGTTCGGTGGGATGGTTGACCGCAAATAGCATGTTCGGGGGGTGAGCGAACTGGTGCAGGAATGTGATATCACAAGGGAACTCACTCGTTCAGAGCGACTTCGGGGCAACTTGAGGGGAGGGAAAGGAGTTATTATACAAGGGTTTCCAAGGGCGGCTTTACGATATAAGAAATTTTACAAAGTCCAGCCTCAGATCGTCACACTGATGTGACTAATCCTGCGCAGCTCCAGAAAAATCGCCTTGCATAGCATGTTAATATGACTTTCAAAAGTTAGTCTTCTATCTAGGTAGACACCCAGGTACCGCACTGTTAGAGCTAACTCAATACACACACCTGAGAGAGTAATGGATGTTGTGTTATTTGCAGATTTCTGCTTCTGAGCGGTCGCAATGGGGAGCAGCTCAGTCTTATCATCATTTAATTTGAGCTTGTTAATGGTCATCCAGTGCTTTACCGACTCCATTGTCTTCTGTGTCATACTGAGCAGCTGAGGGAACTGAGAAGGGATCACAGATTGATGAAGTTGTGTATCGTCCGCGAACATGTGATACAACATGTCAAACTGCCTGATCTCTGCACCCAGGGGCTGAATGTACATCGTGAAAAGCACCGGGCCTAGGACCGAGCCCTGGGGTACTCCGAATTCGATATTAGATTTCTTCGAGGTCAAGCCGTTTGAAATTACTGACTGGACCCGATTAGTGAGATACGATCGGAACCAACACAGGACGGTATCAGTGAGACCGAACGTTTGTTGCAGACGCTGGAGCAGTATGCCGTGGTTGAGCGTATCGAAAGCTGCCGATAAATCGAGTAAAGACAAAATCGATACCCGGCCCTCATCAGAAGACGACAGAAGGTCGTTTACGACGCGCAACAGAGCTGTCTCAGTAGAGTGATGCACCCTGTATGCTGATTGGAATGGTTCAAACAAGTCAAACTGAGTGAGGTGATCCAGGAGTTGGCGGAGAACGACTTTTTCTAAGATTTTAGAAATAAATGGTAGATTTGAGATGGGGCGGTAATTTTCCATCACATTTGGGTCAAGATTTGATTTCTTTAATAGTGGAGTGACGATCGCCTCTTTAAAAGATGATGGAACAATACCAGTAGCTAAGGACTGATTTATGATATAAGTGATGATGGGGACTATTTCATCCAGACATTCATACAAGAGCCCTGCTGGAAGAAGGGTCAAGCGAACATGAATACGGCGCCCCTAATCAGGTCAGCTAGAGTGAGCTTCTCTCCACCTAATACCCACTTGTTGGCCATATTTTCAACGTTTGAAAGACAAACCCCAAAATATTCTCTGGTTGAATCTAACTTATATTCACCTTTTTCTTCTAATTTAGGCAAAGCATTCACTACCTAATAATACAACATGGGGTATTGATGGTGCTACTGGAAACATTGTTGATATGAAAACTTTTGGTGTCTGGGAACCCATATCTGTCAAACAACAAGTGTACAAAACAGCCATTGAGGTATGAGAGGAAACAGTTATTTAAAGCTTTCAAGATAATAATGTTGGTTGAAGATTGCTTTTTAATAGAAAAATATTAATGCTTTGAGGGTAGAATTTTTAAATTAAATTGAGAGTAATATGTTTTTAACAAAATTAAATTGAGAGTAATATGGTTTTTTTTTAAATTGAGAGTAAAATGTTGTGTTTTTAAATTGAGCGTAAAATGTGTTTTTTTTAAATTGAGAGTAAAATGGTTTTGAAAACGTATTTTCCGTTCATGTGCAGACTGCCATCCTGTTGTTACGCATTGATGACATTGTATCAGGTGTGAAGAAACAAGGAGGGGACTCTCACTCTGCTCCACAACAGGCACAAGCATCTGAAGGACCAGAACAGTGATGAGGCCGACTTGTGCATTGTCATTTTTGCTATTTCACATTTGTAATGCATCCCTTTTTCATACAGTTGAGTTAGCTTGAACTTTTTGGGAGATGTATTCAAAGTATTTAAGCAATGAAATGGATGTCTGTGTGTGTGTGTTTACTGTTCTGCTTCTGTGATTAGCTCATCATTTTCAATTTTATTCTTATTAGCAACTTTTCTTACAGCATTTGATACTTTAGTTATGGTACATTTTAAAGTATATGCAATTTATGGTTTTTCTCAGAGGAATCACTCTAATTAATATTGTTTAAAAATTTTTGAAGAAATTACAATAAATTGAAATCCATAAATTTTCTAGGAACAAATGAATAGTTAATTGTTTTATATTTGTGTACTTTCATTTGAACAAATTTTAAGGAAATTTTGATTTGGCTCCAGGATATAATAATTTGTACTTTCCATACTCAGTATTTAAAAACGTTCTTAATAAAATAAAATCATTTTTTAATAATTTCTTTTCACTTTAAATTTTACTGTTTTTTTTTAATTAAAAAAGGTGTTTTTGCATTGTTGCTTAGCAATGTTAGTGGTTTTAAGATACTCTGCTGAAGCTGTGTTTCCCAACATTTTCTGTACTCTTCATCCCTGAGTAACAACGTATTGTTGAACTAAGTCTGGCATCCCCTTCTAAAGTAATGATGCATTTTAAAACTGGAAAAAACAGGACTAGCGTTTTTTAAATTGCATTACAATTACCATGAGATTTGTAGAACTTAAAAATATAAGCTTGTGACTTATTACAATTAGTAACATGTTAATTTTATTTTTAAAATATATATATACAAATATTTATATGCAAAAGTCCTTGCCTCCTCTGTCTTGTAATCTTTTCGTGGCACACCCTTATACTTATATGCAACCTTGCACTCCCTGGAACTTGAGGTGCTCGCACTGTTGAGAAATCCTGGTCTAAGGATTTCCATTTTATATTAATATATTGGTCTGTCTTTAATACTAATAGTAATTTTGCTTAGCTTCAGGTTTGTTCTCAACAATTGTGTAACACAAGCTTTAAAGATAAAATTCACCTTTTCCTAGGAGTTTTGATTACTTATGTGAATGGTCTTCTGATTATTTTCTTTTAATTCAGTGCAAGCGCAAGCTCCAAGCTATTATTGAATTAAAAGAAATTTTAAAAAATAAATTTATAAATTATAATCAAATACATATAATATTTATTTCAAATGAAATAAGGCACTATGTTTAAGGCTACATACACATAAGACATTCACATAGTGATATCACCAGAACATAAGTCATCTATTCTTGCCCATTTTTGTATGTTGTCATACAAACAAGAGAGCACAATTATTGTTAGCACTTATAATGTAACAAACAAATAGCTGCAACACACTATTAAAAAATATTAGAAATATGTTGTCTGATTCCTGATTTAGTTAGTACTCGCCTTTTTTAAACATCAGTTTGAAACCTCACGAATTTATGAAACAATACCTAACAATTTTACTCTTTCATTATGAATTATGGTACAATCACGCATTGCATTAGAAATGGTTAGATTCAATGTGTTTCTGATGTGAGGTGAAATGTAGATTGGCATACTTTCAATACTTTCAAATTTACCAAGGTGTGATTACTGTTACTATTCTTTTAAAAAAATAATTGATTGCAGCAACCCTTGTTTCACTTTGTTATGAGTTTGCTGTCAATCATTTTTAATTTTTTAAAGAAAATTGGGGAGGGGGGTGGCAATAAGTATTGGTACAAACTGATCTATGACTTATAACTTTTTTCTCAGCTCAATATTAATTATTGGCAGAGACTCCGAGACCATCCAAATAATACTCAGCAACAACGGCAAATGTTCATACCACTCCCCTTGCTGCAGTCCTCAATTTTTGAACCAAAACCCCATTTGGATGTAGGAATTAGCATATTCACCCCTAGCCTAAACCACCTGTTTCAATCAATGTATAGTATGGTGCTATCAATGTATTACCCAGCCAACGGGGGGTTGAGGGGTTGGAGTAGTACACTTACAATTATCCATACATTCTGCAATTGTTTTATTATGTTAAATCAATTGAGATTTAATCCGTACCTAAACTAAAAATCGGTGATATCTTTCGTAACTATTTCTTTATGTTTAAAAGGCAGCAAAAAAAAACCAAACTATTTGCTAGATATTGCTCCAGTAATAACTAGTTAGCCTAATGACGACACACTGTAATCCACCATATGCCTTTCCATTCGTGTGGCGTAATTTGTGACATCGAGTGGTGCCTCGGAATCCAAACAACTACAAACTCCTTGGATCCCAGTCCTTTTATTAAATTACTCCAGCCAATCACTGCTGGCTTTTATCTTCTCCATTTGAGTACCGGGTATCATTATCAAGCATGCCTTTCATTAAATCATCGTGGAGGACCTTGGCTTTCACAAAAATTATTGTCTCAGAGATCACATCAACAGGCAAAAGACAAGAGGGGAGTATTGGCTATTAATATTATTGCACTCGAAAAATGCTGTAAGACGAGGATGGTGCCAGTTCCACTAGAACAGGGGTCACCAAACTTCGGGCCGGATTTGAACTTGCTTGATAAAACGTATGGAACACGAGACGTGATACAATTTAAATTTCAATATTATGTTTAGTCTACTAAGAGATCTTCACACGTGCGGAGACCTCCTGGCTGCTATGCGCCTTAGTTTACCATTTCAAATTATTGTATCTAGATTTTGTTTATTACTTACCTGTTCACCCTCGAACTCCTAAAATAGTAAAATATCGCCTCAAAATCGTACAATACGGTATCTTAATAGAAAATAAAAAAACATACAGTATATAAAAAGAATACAATAACTACTCGTATCGCAGTGCCTAGTGGGATCGAGTTAGCTGACGTCAAAAAAGTTACCTACCGTACTAAAAGGAGATGACCGACGTTTACAATACAATCTGAGGTCACTTTGTTTTTCAGACGTGTATTTGCTATTGATATTAACTTATACTGAGTGATCGAACAGATCAACTTATCACAGTCTGTCACTTGTAAAAATAAAGTCACTGTTGAAATTTAACGTGGTTCAAACTCGAAGTCAGATCAGCATAAAACAAGATATATTTTAATAAGAATTAACAAATGATGACATCATTTTTAAAAAACCTACCAAGTACCTGAAGTTGTCGATTGTAGGAGAAGCTGGTTTGAAAAAATAAAATAAGAATCAATTTCCATTAAGCATATTCCCGCTAATATGTTATATGTCTGATAACTACCACAAACTGCAAATGTGTGACAGAAAGAGGAGTGTTGGAAATATACGGGGACATTAAAAAATTGTACTCGCCTCGGTTGGAACTAACACCATTTGGGCAAGTTCAGAGCGGAGAACAGAAGAACTTGGAGAGGACATTGTGCTACAGATACGTGAGAAAGCTAGGAACTTGCTGTGGCACTGGATGAGTCTGCTGATCTCTTACAACTTCTCGTGTTTATTTGTAGTGTCTATTCGGACTTAAAGATGGCGGAAGCGTTGGCATTCGTTTGCGGTATGCATGGAACAACTTTAATTATATCTGTGAGCAAACAGTTTCAAAAATAAAGTATACCGGTATGTCATTATATGTGAATTCAACACATGGAACGAAAGGGATTAATGAACATTTGAAAACAATAATTTTGATTGGATGCAACAATTCCAAACCAAAGATTGATGATATCTTGAAACCTTTTTTGCTGCTAAGTTTGTGAGATTCGTAAATGTGCGCACTAGGTCTAATCTATCTTTTTGCTAACGTCACCCGCTTTGATAACTTTTTTAGTAAATAAATATGTTGGTTGTCTTTCCTGTTTCCATTACACACCACTCACCCATGATTAACATGGAATAAAAAACTTCGTTTTTCGTTTTTTTTTCAAGAGCTTTCGTTCTTGCTTGCAAGTATTGTACAGAATGATTATACAGCCCGCGCTCGTCATGGTATTTCCCGCAAAATATTTGCTTCCGCCCTGATCCCTTGGTGTGTGCTACTGCTGTTCAGGCTGTCGAGGACTGCTGTCTTGCTGTGAAAGATTGGATGTCATCAAACAGACTAAAATTAAATGATGATAAGACTGAGGCCATTATTTGTGGTTCAGACGCCGATCTTCGGAAAGTTACCATTGCATCAATAAAAGTTGGTGAATCAGAGATCCCGTTGTCCTCGACTATCAGAGACCTTGGGTTTTATATTGACAGTAAATTTAGTATGATTCCCCATATCAGGTCTGTTGTCAAGGCATGCTTCTGTCATCTGCGTGCCCTGGGTCAGCTGCGTCCTCAACTCAATAGGAGAACAGCCAATGCTGAAGCAGTAACTCTAATCTAGTCAATATTAGATTACTGTAATAGTTGTTTTTGGGGTTTACCTCAGAACCAAATTCAGAGACTCAAAAAGATAAAAATTCTGCAGCACGCATTGTATCGCGGAGGAAAAAATCTGACCACATCACCCCAGTTCTACGAGATCTCCATTGGGTTCCTGTGAGTGAGCGCATTAACTACAAAATTCTGTCCCTGGCGTATAACTGCAGAGATGGCTCAGCACCGGAATATCTCAAGGAACTGATTTATAAACATGTATCCGTGAAGAGCCTGCGGTCTTCATCACAGTACTTGCTGAGTGTTCCTAGTGTGGATAAACACATAAAAAAGTCGTACGGAGTGCGCTCTTTTGAAGCGATAGCGCCAAAATTATGGAACAGTTGGCCTCAATCTTTGAGGGGAATAGTAAATGATAAAAAAATTATTTAAGAAACAATTAAAAACTTTTTAAAAAAAATAGATTTCGGAGGACCAGAGCGCAGTGAGCATGCTACAATGGCATGGATACCGGCGCGATATAAATATCAAATCAATCGATTTTTTGTCCGTTATCCGGCCCGCCGTGAAAAAAAGTTTGGTGACCCCTGCACTAGAACATGGGATATCAGTTCAGAACATTTACCGCACCCCACATCTCGATTTCAAAAATATTTCCCGCACCCCCACGATAAAACATACTAAAAAAACCTCTAATAAACCGGATTATCGATGGCTTCCCGTATCATCTGGAACAGCCTGCCGCACCCTCAGGGGTATCCCTAGTCTGGTTAAATACCTGCACTTCAACAGCGTTTCCCGGACTTAAGTTTGGCGGACCGGTTAACAAGTTACGAAATGGCTCTAGTGATCGATGGTAGATTTATCAATTACATTTTCTTTTTATTTCACCATAAATATTTATGTTATGCGGACCAGCAACGTAACGTTCGCGGACCTCCATTTGAGTTTGAGGAACGCTGCTCTAAAGTGTGGCCAATCAGCTACTGGGGGCCATCATTTAGCAATAGTTTTTTTTTTTTTTAATATTATATTTCTAATTTTTTAAGTGTTGCCCATTTAAATTTGTAAACACCTAAAAATTTGTTTTCATATAATTTCTAGTTTCAATTGAGATGGGCTTAATGCTTCATGTATAATTATTTTTTAATAGTTTTTACTCTATTACTATTTGCAACCCTGGTGGCTTGTGGGTGCATGAGACTTTGGATATTTAAAGGGCACAAAGTTGTAATTATGGAAAAAAAAAGTAACTACCAGCATTCAATTTTGTTATCAACTTTTAAAACTTTAAAAAAAAAAAAAAAAAAAACAAGAGAAAAAAAAAAAAAAAAAAAAAAAATTATAATTTCTAGTTTCAATTGAGATGGGCTTAATGTTTCATGTATAATTATTTTTTAATAGTTTTTACTCTATTACTATTTGCAACCCTGGTGGCTTTTGGGTGCATGAGACTTTGGATATTTAAAGGGCACAAAGTTGTAATTATGGAAAAAAAAAGTAACTACCAGCATTCAATTTTGTTATCAACTTTTAAAACTTTAAAAAAAAAAAAAAAATGCTGGTGGCAACCAAAAGTCACGCAAGGGCTGTGGCACTCAACCCCCAAAACACTTTTTCTTGAAAGTTTGACAAGGCATAACGTAACGATGGTCGTGAGTGAGGGCTTAAAAAATTGCCAAAAATTTGTTGATATAATTAATATCAAGATAATCTAGGAAAGGCCTCACATTTACCATCCTACATTTCATAATAGGAGTTTAAAGAAATAAAAAAGAAGACACCAAAGACCTCAACACCCATTTAGGGCAATTTGTTTCCTTAGTTTTCATTGACATTTTTTGAGTCGTCGTCGGGCCATCTGTGCCGCCACTACATTTGTGGTGGATCCAGATGATCCAGTGCATATCTGTTCAACCATTTGACGACACTTGGGAGGAGCTGAAAGGAAGGGAGTATGCATTGTTTAATATTTACATGTCCGTATACTTCATGTATAAACACCTTTAAACGAAGGTAAATTCTAGACTGACGCTCTTAATAAATCGATGTGATAATTTTATTTAAATATGTAATTTATTATATACATGTTACTGATGATTTTTGAAAAA